TGAGCCACCTTCCCAGCCCAGTGGTAGGCTGGCACTCTGCCACTTAGTGAATTGGAGATTTGGGTCTCTAGGACTTTTCTGCTTGAACTGGTTTGAGCTTGTGATCGCCCGTGTCAGCCTCTGTTGCTGGAACCCACATTTTTCTTTGGAGATAAGAGTCTCTCACTTTGTAACCCACAGTGAAAAACTTCCCTATCTTTCTACCTTAGACCCCTGAGGGCAGGGAGTAAAAGTATGAACCATACATGGCTCATTTTCTATTTAGAAGAAGAAGGAAGGAAGGAAGGAGGGAGGGAAGGAAGGAAGGAGGGAGGGAAGGAAGGAAGGAAGGAAGGAGGGAGGGAGGGAGAGGCAAGAAGGGAGAGGGAGGGAGGGAGGGAGGGAGGGAATGAGGGAGAGAGAAACAAAGAAAGAAAAGAAAAGAGAGGAAGAAAAGTCAGAAAGTCAGGTATCTGTGGCTCACGCCTGTAATCCCCGCTTACTCCCGGACCCTTTTTACTTGTGTTGTTTCTCCATAGTGTCTCTTTGTTGTTTGGCCCGGGATGCTAGGTGCACACCACCAGGCCTGGCTTCTGAGTTAAGGTGAGGGTCTCCATAACTGTTTCTGCTAGAGTGTGTCAGAAGCTCAGTCTCCCTGAGTAGCTGAGGTTACAGGCATCGGCCGTGGCGCCAAGCCTGGGCAATCCCAGGCCACAGCCTAACTCCAGATCTCTCGGCAGAGTAACCAACAGCGGCAAGACGACGTTGGCCAGCCGCCTGCATGCAGCACTGCCCAACTCCTGCGTGATCCACCAGGATGACTTCTTCAAGGTGACGCGCTTGGGGGGGCGCCCGGGGGTCATTGGGGGTCACCAGGGGCTGAGCCGGGGTACAGACCCTCCCATTTCCCAACTGGGAGGTCCCTGCCCAGCCCTGGGAGAGTCAGGACCAGGAGAATTGGGGACAGTGTGTTCTTTCTTTTCTTTTTTCCTGGTGCCCGATGTAGGACTTGAACTCAGAGCCTGGGCGCTGTCCCTGAGCGTTTTTTGTTGTTGTTGTTTGTTTTTGCTCGAGACTGGCACTTGACCACTTGAGCCACAAACGCCACTTCTGGCTTTTTGCTGGTTCATTGGAGAGAAGAGCCTCACGGCCTTTCCTGCCCCCAGGGCTGGCTTTGAACCTCCATCCTCAGCTCTCAGCCTCCTGAGTTGCTGGGATGACAGGCGGGCGCCACGGGACTGGATTGAATAGCACAAAAAAAAAAAAAAAAGACTAGAGTGGGCCACTGCTCAGCGGGTGACGTTAGCCGGGACCCCTGCTCCCAACCTCTCCCTGCGGGAGCCTCAAAGGAGTGAGCACTGAGCGCCTGGCTTGGGCTGCTCTGTTTCAGCCCCAGGACCAAATACCAGTTGGGGAGGACGGCTTCAAAAGATGGGACGGTAAGGATGGCTGCCACCCCCCATTCCCCATGCCCCCCCCCGTTTCCTCCCC